CTCTGTGTCTTGCCTTTGTCCTCGTAGGGACGCGGCTTCAATGCGCATGTCGTGTTTGCCCCCCCCCTTTTTTTCTTTTCTTTTTCCTACGGTGAATGGCCTAGAATGTGCAGAGTTTTTGTTTCGTATTGTTTTTAGGGGAAGGACGGTTTGATTCGTTTTTTTTTGTTTTTTTTTCCATTTCCACGTTTTTTTTGGCTAGCCCCGAGCTTTATGTCAGTCCCCCGCTCGAACGTCGTGCAATTTATATAACGAAGGATGACTAATGACGGCGATGTCGATAATGTGGATGATGATGATGGATGATGATTAGGATGATGATGATGATGATGATGATTAGGATGATGATGATTAGTATGATGACGACCATCCATACGGTTGCGCATTGATGAGTACGATTAGATTCGAACGCTGTTTGCAATTCCTTCGGGGGCATAGGGTGTCATTAAGCATGGAGGCAGCCAATGGCGTTTGGTCTGTATTGGAGTTGATTGATCCCTCTCGTTGAACCGAAATGTGGGTCAGGGGTGAGCAGGTGGGCGATACGGATAACATTGACAAAAATGGCTATCGCGCAGAGACGCTTTGCTGGCGGTTGTAAAAATGGCAATGTGTGTGTGTGTGTGTGAGAGAGAGAGAGAGAGAGAGAGAGAGAGAGAGAGAGAGAGAGAGAGAGAGTGAGAGAGAGAGAGAGAGAGAGGTGTAGAGGTTAGAATGGGCGATCAGGCGGCATTTACTTTCAGGACTTGACGCTTGCAACATCTGGAAGAAGTGAAAGATATGGCAATGCGGCATCAAGCTTGGAAAGGTTGTAATTAAAAAAAAAAAAAAAAAAAAGCTTGGAAAGGTCGTGCTTTCAGACGTCGGATCTACTACAGTGTTTCGCGAAGAAAATGAAATGATTTTCTGTGTTAGGTTTTCGAGGTTTTCGATGTTGCTACAATAGTGGTAGGCATGAACCTCGTGTGTCATCTCCTCGGGCATCATTAGGATTTCGTGCAGTCATTCGTAGCGTGTTTTTTTTTTTTTTTTTTTTTTTAATTCTTAAACTTACATTATGTTTATGTGCCTGTTAAACGTTTTCGGGGATGCTAATTTCCATCGCCGGTACGACGTTTTCACCTCCATGTACCGACAATTTCGGAGATGGTGGCAACACTCCCATCGCCGATGCTTATGAGTTGGTGGTGGTGGTCGGATTTCAATGAGCTGTCATCTCCTTCTGTCTTCCATATGATGAGAGTGCGTAGTAATTTTTAAGGAAGAGATACATGTTGTGAACACGTGTAAAAAACAAAAAAAAAATAATTGTACAACTTGTATTTTTTTCGGTCTAAACGCTCGGCTGCCATTTCTGCTGAAGTAATAGATGCCCCCAGTTGCAGGGAGTCTGGGGCCATGGCTGAGTTGCTGATTTACTCGAGTTGCTTGGCCGTAATAAGCAACCGGGACTCATGCCCTCCGAAATAGGTGGTGGGACTTGTGAGCGCTTCTGAGGCAAAATAAATAAGTACAAAAATTCCATCTAATGGAGTCATGTGTCCTCTGTGTGTGTGTGTGTGTGTGTGTGTGTGTGTGTGTGTGTGTGTGTGTGTGTGTGTGTGTTGTTATGCTCGGTATACACAACTCCGCAAGAAAACAATGACTCTGCCATCCTGTTTCGTCGGACTTTCACGGACGCGTTAGGATTGTGTGTGTGTGTGTGTGTGTGTGTGAGGGGGGGGAAAATGGGAAGAGGGAGGGGGGAGGGAGAATGGGAGGGATCATATATGAAAGAGAAAAGAAGGGAAAATTGCATCTGTACCCCATTTAAAGATGAGAATACCCGCTATGCCCAGTCCCGATGCCCAACTTGCATCTGTACCCGGGAAATGGTCTGTGCAAATAATTTGCAATGCCAGGACGGAGGTGGGGCAAGGTTGGTAGTGCCAAATTGCAGTTAATATACCCATCTACCGGAATGCTCAAATTATGCCCATGCCCGGGCAAATTATGTGCATACCCTATTTTGCCTGCCCGAATCCTGGGCATAAAGCATAATTTCGGACAGAAGCATAATTTCGGGCATAAGCATAATTTTGTGCTCCCCAACCGGGGGCCTGTGGGACTGGGTACGTGTATAAGTTGGTGCATGGGAGGGAAGAGTAGGGTATTACCTTAAGTTGGACAGGGTCTGGGTATAGATGTAAGTTGGGTGCTGGACTGGGTATAGCGGGTAGTCCCATCTGTTTTCTTTTTTCACTCCATCTTTAAATGGGGTACAGATGCAATTTTCCCAAAAAAGAATGCTACTAGTAAGCGTCGGGGACGGAATGATACAGCGAACGTAGACAAATCGGA